GCTGCTGGGGGTCGCGCTCGGGGCGGGGTTCGCGCTCCCCGGGGTTCGCGCTCCCCGGGGGCCCCGCGCCGCGCTTTGCACCTGGCTCAGCTTTGCACCTGGGTGACCTTGATTCTGCCCTTTGCTTGTGGCCCCGGGAGGCGGCCTGCGACTACGCTGCTTCCTTTCTCCTAACGCCGGGGGCGCCGGAGTGACGCTGCTCGGGCGTCTGGCGGCCTAAGGCCCCGCTGACCGGCGGCCAAGGGCAGTCGCCCGCCGCGGCGCCGCGGGTGCCTCGAACGCGGGTTTTTCTTTCTCCAAGGAAGGAGGGAATAGTCCCCTGGGGAAATTTTGCGAAGATCAGTTTCTGGGATTAAGACTTAAATTTTTCTTTTTTAAGTTAGGGCAGCTACCTTGTTTGTTAGGAGGGCCTCAACTTTTGCAGGCAAATTGCCATCAAATTCTACATCAGGAGATTTGCTTTTGTTTGACCTTGTACACCAGAATGGTTTCTTTGGAGCTATGGAACATGGAAAAGACGATTCAATTTGTGGGTACACTATTATGAAACATTAGAAGAGTAGACACTAATCTATAGAATTAGCACTTGTAAACATTCACCTGAGACAAAGCTAAAGCCATTAAATTCTCACACAACAGAGTAAAATGAAGGCTATCTACTTCATTAAAAAAAGAGGTTTGTACATACAAGAGCTGGGATGTAGGCCAGAAGTGGGGGGGATGAGAGGACTCCCCAGAGACAGAGTGGGGGGCAGAACAGGCAGAGCCACTGAAACAATGCTGAGGGGAGTGGGGAGAATGGAGGGTCTCGGCTGCGCCCTGGGGGTCACTCCGGGTGGGGGTGGGGGGCGGCAGCTGCCAGCCACAGGGAAGCAGAGACCCAACCAGAGAGGCCCTGCCTACTTTTTAAAAGAGAGGTGGGCATATGCTAATATTGAGACGCCAAGGTTTTCTGTTGCCTGACAGATTTCTCAGGAAAGAATTTTTCTTTCGACACAGCAGATATTTAGAAGTCCTCTCCACCGTTGTATTGAAGGTTCCATGTGTTTTCAGCATTATTTTTTTTTAAAGATTGATTTATTTATGCATATAGAACTGGGGTACAGGCCAGAGGTGCGGGGTGGTGAGAGGCTTCACCCGAGACAGTGGGGAGCAGAACAGGCAGATCAAGGAAACACACTGCTGAGGGGAGCAGCGGCGGGTCAGGAGAGGTCTGCTGCTCCCTGTGGGTCACCTCTGGGGCAGGCAGGGATCGAACTGATGCTGAAGCGGCTTTAGCTTCTCAGTGCTGTGCTTTAACCCGCTGCGCCCCCAGGGAGGGCCTTTTCAGCATTATTTTGATGCTGCCACAGTGTTAAAAAATATCAGTCTGGAAGGTGACAATTTTTTCCACCCGAAGGACACTGTAACTTGCCGAGGAAAGACTGTTGCCGTCGGGCCTGTGACGAGGCCACAGCGTCACACTGGTGCTGTGCTAAACCTCCTTTTCCTTTTGTGTCTGTTTGGTCTTCCAGCACTGCGCTCTGTCAGCCTCGAAGCTGCCGTTGGAGCTCAGCGACGACTAGGAGGTCCTAGAATGTATGCCAGGACGCAATAACGCAATGTGCCACCTGTGATCGGGCCTAAGGCTGCCTGGACCCTGAAATGTGCTGCGCCGGGTGGCTGGCAGCTTCCTTCCTGCTGTCCGCTGTTTCTAGTTCACGTGACTGTAATGACTGAAGTTTTTGTGGCTCAATCTCCACAAGCTGTTTGCAGTTAACACGCGGGGAAAGGACAGGGTCTGCATAATTTGGTGCAAGTCAGGGAAGCCTATAATTGATCAAAGGCATAAAATGCAGGTGTTCACTTACTCATTTACTACATTTTAAAGACTTTTTGAAAGATACCTAAGCGCTAGGGAAACAATGAGCATCTGCAGCCCTAACCCTTGAAGGAGACAGTGAGAGCATGAGAGATGGGGGAAGGTAGTGAAAGGACTGAGCTGACCGCTTGTGCCCAAGAAGCTCAGACTGTCAAAACCTTGCTTTTCTCACTTTAGTGAAAGTCTGATCTTCCCTCTAGCAGAGCTTGATTTTTGTCGACACAAAGTTGATCAATTTGTGAGGAGCAGACTTGTGCGGCGCAAGCTCACAAGGACCAATGTCCAAATGTGTGTGTCAACGCATTTTCTAGGGAGTGGTTTATTTCCGCTGAAGCACTATTCCTGTTCAATGCTCTAGATCAGTGCTCTCCAACAGAAATAGAATGTTGCCCATAAATGGGAGCCACAGAAGTAATTCAGATTTCTAGAAGCCAGAATAAAAAGTGGTTTATTGAGGTTTAGTTGACAGATAACTCTAAGGCTAAGGTATGCAATGTGGTTGCTACAGTAGCATCTTTATCTTGTCCCTTACCGCTGCGATTTGATATGACTTGGTAGGTTATTTTAGGAGTTCTGGGAGCACTCAGCATTTTTTTGATGTAAATGAATGGGAATAACAGCATTCCCAGGCCCTCCAATTAACCTACCAGGTAAGGCCAACTACTTCCAGACAGCGGGAAAGCCTGTATTTTTCATTTATGGTTGTGTTGACCACAGTTAAGATTTAGTCTCTTAGCAACTTTGAAGTTTATAATATTGTCACCTGGCCACTCTGTAGAGCATTCGATTTCCAGAATGTAGCTCCTAGTTGTAAGTTTGTAGCCTAAACAGCATCTTCCCACCCTCCAGGCAACTACCCTGAGAAACTACTCTTAGTAACCAGCCTC